GTCTTATCTCATTCATTTTCTAACAACGTCTTCACTTGCACGTTATACTCCATTAAACCAAACATTTTATAGCTCTTTATGAATTCGATACGACTTATTTTATTCCTATTCTCTATAGGGTACGGTTGTGCACTAAATGCACAAAAAGGTATGAAATAAAAGCAACCGGCTTGTGAATAATTATATTAAAACCAAAAGTGGACAACATGATAGTGAGACCTATAGGGTAGCATTACACATTGCAAATGAAGTTTGTCAGCCTAGGGATTATAGTCTCCCATTGTATTTCCTTTATGAATGCATCTATTAATGATACATTGCACTTACCTATTTCATCACACACTTTCATTCAACTTAGCACCTTTACTTTTCTAAAACAGCTTACAATCCTTTGTAAACTTTGTACTTACCTCAGTATTGATTGAATATCGTATGACTACAAACACGGGTTGAAACCGAAACGAAGTCGATTTTCCCGCGCAACTTGGAGGACTACTGTAGAATTCAATAATCATCCGGTTGGGTCAGACAATGAGTGTATTTATATATATATATCAAATATTTAGCTGTTCAAACATTATTAACTTGTAGACAATCTACTATTTGACATTATATCATACTTGATCGTGCCTGTAAAAATGGCATGCATTTTCATGTAAATTTATATTTATATGAAAATATACATTATTAATAAACTTAAACTTGAATTACGCCCTCGTAACTCTCCTGTGCCTAACTTCTTTGCATACTATCACACACAGACATGATGTGACTGAATCAATCCACTGTAAGATGGCTAATATATCTCGATATTCATATATATTACAATTGTGGAAATTTCTGGCGAAAGTTTCCTTCTCCCTATTCTCTTCTTTTTCACTCAGATTTTATACTCAGCATCTGATGCAGATGAACTCTCCCAGCCTGTTTAGGAAGGACCTCTATGGCTGCTTCCCATATTTCAGGTTTTCGTTTTAACGTATACACATACACATTGGTTCAGTCACCATAGCACGCTTTCTTGTTGTGCCAACAACACTCACATTCTCTCAGTATGTAATATAGCCACGTTCTAAATATCTGTCCCTGAATAATTTTGACTTTATTTATTCTTATTTTTGATTACAGCTTGATGCCACACCGTATTTTCAGTACAAGTATGGAATTTTCAGCATGGATATCGGTAACCCAAATTTACAGGCCGACCATAGATATCGGGTGTGCGTCGGCAGGGGATCGAACCCCAGACCATGCGCATGGTCGGCGAGAGTCGTAACCACTGTGCTTCTCACTAGGTCACAATTCCAATTAGCTGGGTCTTTTTTATTTGTGTTTTGTCTTCAGTACTCACAAGTTAGGTAGAGTACTTATTTACTGAGTAACTGGTCAAATTAGGTGTAGTAAGGACTAGTACACCAACAGCACTATCAGTACCTTACAATCTTAATAGACCCACCAAAAACTTGATCAAGATACTGAAGAGGATGATCAAAAATATATTACGACACATTTGAAGTACAAAAACATGTTGCCTGAGAAATGGCATAGTTTTTGGGGAATCCTGTCACGTTTGACAAACACCAAAGGGAGGAAGGACTTGGTCAAGTTAAAGGGTAACAGGAAACGCATCTTCTTTGCTTTCACAGACTTTAGCCTGGGTTTTTAAAAAAGTCTCTCGTAAGACTGCTTATAAGACTAGGGAATTTGGACATTAGGAGTAGTCTGCTCAGCTGGTTCATGGAATTAATTAAAGGCATGATACAGTAGGGATAATCTGGAAACGTTCTTCATTGAAACTAGCAGAAAATCGTGCTATAATAACCTCTACTTTATTAGTCCTGTACATCAGGGGACTGCCGGATTTCATCAGGTTTCCTATGGCTTTCTATGAGAACAACCTGAGAATATGTAGAGAGCTGAAGAATGGCAGAGACATAGGTCACAAATCAAATCCCGAAAGTCTGTTAGAGTTGGAGTACATGGAATGGATGTTTCTAGTCAGTGTAGCGAAATACACCATCTTGTGCAGTAGACACACAAGCGCAGGAGCATGCGATACAGACAGATTACCCCTGTATCCATTTAAAATGCACAGGAATTTGTGTGTCATAGTACATCATAACCCAAGAAGCATAACACACTGTCGTACACTAGCAGATCTCAGGTTTAAATTCCTATTGTCTAAACGATTGACCTGTCTTCCTTAATCACCAGTGAAATGTCTAGCAGCTTATATACATTTGTGGTAAGGTCAAAACTAAAGACTCTTATTCACTCATATACCTGTACATGAAATGTTATTCATGAACGCGGGAGCTTAGAAGGTGTCGGTACGACGTAAATATCCGAAAGTGGGTTACAGTTGTTTCTGCTGTTTATTATGTGATTTAGTTAGCTATTAATGACATGATTCAAATAAATATTGAAATGAAATTTGTGGTCAGTTTGTTGAATATGATACTACATTAGTGACAGGTATTTTGGTGCATATAGTCTCATAATTATGAGACTGTATGCACCATTAGTAATCTGATTGGCACTCAGGTAACCTGACAAGGCTTTTAGGGGAGTTTTGTGTCCTGCGCGCAGAAGTGCTATTCTTGTTATTCACATAGATAGTGGAGTTTTGGTTTTATAATTCGAATATACCGATACCCAGCTAGCGAGAAATTCAAAGGTACATTGACGTCTTAAGGATAAAATTCGGGCTCACCTTAGCCACTAATTTAAGTTCGGGAGGATAATTTGTATTCCTAATTGTATGTTAAGTTTTATCTAAGAGTCGTCTACTCGAAGTTGTCGGAGCACGTGCTTTCAGTTTTTGCTAGACTGGAGTGTGTACAGGCTTTGGCGTCCCACCCTAAGATTTTCGCGTCTCCTCTATAAATATGCTGTGAAGTTCAAAAATTCCTTCCTCTCTGTAGAGTAAAATGAACCCCATTTTAATGCATAAAATTCGGTTGATTTCCTTAGCAAGTTTTTCACCTCTTTGTCAAATTTTTTCCTCAGGTTTACTGGTTTAACCTGCGTAGTTGACTTCACAGTTATTGCAAAGTAGATCGGGGTATTCAGGTTATCAGACTAGAAGAATTTAGTTAGGTGTAGGATGACTGACCCCACGAATATGGGTATATTATAAAAAAAAGCTCAGCAATCGCAATGTGTGTATTAACACAACCATACGATAGGGTGGGAAAGTTACAATTCCAAAAAAGTAGTATAGACAGTCGGAAAGAGGCCGATTGCTGAAGCTTTGTTCAGCGAATTTACACCTCCCAGCTAGCACTGACTTTGGGTGCACTGCAGAATCTTTGGGGCAGACTGCAGATCACTATCCCACATTCTGCAATGCTAGCTGGGCTAGCACGTGCATGTACAATGGCTCATCACCAATGCGAGAAATACGAAAAATATTGCTGCTAATCAAATCAAGTGATAAGAAATAATGGAAAGATGTGTGAATGCCTAGGCGTGGTTATGATCAATAAATTTTACCCGAAACTTCATCACTAAAAAACACTGTATATTGTAATTTTATCAGATTAATTTACTCTATTAGAGAATTCCGCTCTACAACACTACCAAAGTTCTATTCTGATATCTTCTCGTCAACGAAACTTCAAGAAACTGAAAAGTAACTGTGCTCTTTTTAAGTAAGATAAACCTCTGAGTAAGCACTATTGAAGGGACTCAGAATCAAATCAATATATAGGCCTGAATCTCAGACCACAAACGAGTCATCTCTGCAATGGCAATGCAGTTCCATTTTCTCTATTTCAATTATTATTGGACTATACTCTAGTTTTTTTAGAACTATGTCCGCGGTTATGAAGCGTAGCGTAATTTCCATTCATACCCTACTGATGAATCTATAAACTCTATCACTAAACGGAGTGTAAACATGCTTGTTACACTTAAGCAGTAGTTTCTTCAGATTAACAATAGAATAATCAGTGTACGACTATTGATTATCTGTTTTCGGATATGATTGACGGTTTCCACCAGAGGGACATTAATAAACAAGAATAGAGCATCAAGGAGTGCCATATGTTTGTTGGTTGTTTTTTCAGTTTTTTATCAATAAAACTCAAGGTATCGTTGACTCTGCTTCACTAGCTGGTCGTGCAGGGGTTGAAGTAACTAGACTAGCGACTTTTCAATCTCGTGATAAGATGATTAAGACATGTCTAGTGTGGAGTGAATGATACCTGTTTTATTCATTTTTGGTAGACCGCACATACATAAAATGGTACTATCTCTGGGTTTTATGTTTTCATATGTTGTTGATAGAAAATACTCTTCATGCAGTTTATTTAGTTAGTGTTGTCTTCTTCTACTTTCTCAACTTGGCCTCAGATTAGTTTCGTTTTCCAAAACTTGCTTTCATTCTCAGCCATGCAATTCATTTTATTTATATAACGATATCTGTTCATAATTACAAACCTCTTACATTGAATCAGCGTCCGGAATTTCGCAATATTTTATAATTGTATGCTGCTCAGCACGTTTGTTGGTGAGATGCGGGAGTTCAATGTTTGACGAGATATAGCCATCATTTGTGTAAAAATCGGATTCTGAAATAATTTATCCAGGTTTTACCTACTACTGAATGTTGGTCTGAAGATCGGATTATTCTTTGAAATTTAATGAATCAATCCTTCTGTCTGTCAAATACTTAGTTCTAATGTACAATTTTAATTTCAAATTTTAGACCGGTGAATTTAACAATGACTGTCTAGAGAACAAGGAATAAATTTTGTCTGCTGGGTATTTTCAGTCAAACAATGCCAGGCTACAAAAGAACCAAACTGGGCCAGTTGAACAGACTTGTCGCTTTAAAAAATAAGAACAAATCTAGAGGGTACTCAAAAAGTTCGGATGTATCCAAGTCAACTAGTCGCATGCAGTTCTCGAGGAAGCTGGGGAGTTTACTGGGGCAGGCTACATGCATCTCATTCTCGGATAGTCATATTCAGTCAGTTCTTAACACTGTCGATGTAATGAAGGATAATTATTTACGTTATCAACGGCAGACACAAAATGTCGATGTTCAGCCATATTTATCTGGCGATAAACAAGCAGTTCCTGAGTTGTGTTTGCTCTCAAAACCCCAGGTTATTCCCCTCCATCTCCCTTTGTTAGAAGGGCAAACCAAACGGCACAGTCCTTCTAGGAACTACGAGAACCACTGTCATCTAGTGGAATATGATATTTCAGATGATGATACTCCAGAAACTGATTATGTCAAAACACCGAGAAACTAATTTGTTGAAATATATGATGTTTCATGACTTTGACTTGTTGAAACTCTACTTAACTTATGCTACCTTAAACTTTCTCTTTAGATTTTTATAATCTTTACTGCAATTGTGGTACTTACTCTGTACCTGCTGTTGCGTCGAAGAGTTGACTACTCTTTATGCAACAAATCTTTTCATGGCTTTAATGTTCTGATCACTGGTGGTTCAAGCGGGATTGGTCTGTCTTTAGCGAAGCTGTTTTACAAGACTGGTGCTAATGTTACAATTGTTGCCCGTGATCTAGCAAAATTGGAGTGTGCAAGAGAATCTATAAAGTGTGAGAAGAACGGGAACAATAATGTATTCATTTTATCTGTTGATTTGACTTCAAATTATGAAGTATTAAGTGAAGTCTTCAGTAAACATGTAACAGCTCATGGTAAGATATGCTGATGTTACTACCCACCATATTTCAAAAGGTTTTTCTTCCTGTTCTTCAATTAAGCCTTATAAACTAAGAGTAAATAAAATAAGTTTATCTGCATTTTATAAGAAACTTATCAAAGCATTTGTTTGTTTTGCTCTACGACTGGTTAGGCATTACTATAGAACTATTCACAAACTGAAAAGGGATAGTATCTCTTGAAGAGGTGGATGACGAGAATATATTCTGAAATATGTATATATATATATATATATACATCTAATTTGAACAAATCCACCTAAATATCGTGTTATCATGTTTTGGTTAAATGAAAATCAGAACTCATGATAAAGCAAACTATGATGGACACAGATTGATTATGTTCTATGAGTAGTCTCCAGCGAACATACGCGGTCTGTAAGTATATAGCTTGTGTGAAATAAGTCTTTTTTCTAGCACCAGCTATTCATATAATTCATGAAATAAAAAATGGGGAACAATTTGCTCCTTATGTAGATGTAATCAAGTAAGTCAGACAGTCACCTACTTTTTCGAGAGATTCGAACCACTAAACTGTTTCAGCCAACGTCAATTTACATGCTACCAAAAATGTTTTGTACTACATTGTTGTCGTAAAATGGTTTACTTTACCACCAAGAAACTAGGATCACTTGTCCTGAGATCTTTTCTTTTCAATATTTGATATAAGTACTCAAGAGTTGACCTCAGTGGAAGTCGACATTTTTCTATCTATAATCGTCATCAGGTTTTTCCCAGGCTTTGTGTATTTCCTTTTCTGTATATTGAGTTGATGTAATTAACAAACAGAATGATATTCCTCCAACTGGATATCTGATGCCTTCACTTAGTTGTCAGGCTAGTATATGACGATAACTCAACGAGCTACACTGATTGGAAAAAATGTGCCAGGAAGGTTGTTTGGATAGCGGTTATACTAAAAGCAGTTATTATCATAGTGCGTTGGTGGCACAGCGGTAGAATGCTCTCCGACCACGCAGGTGGTTTGGGGTTCGATCCCCGGCCGACGAACTGCTTTACCTCTCTAAGCCAGTATTCAGACTGGTAAAGAGCGAAGGTTGGGCATGAAGTTAGCGACCCCATCCTGTAAAAATAAACACCACTGCTACCGAAACTTCAAGCCTCTAACTTGAAGCTCTGTGTTCTGGTGGGAACGTAAAGGGATAAAAAATCATAGTGTGAATCGTTTACACCATAGTGATGGTTTGAGGATGAAGTAATACTTCTGATGGATTGACGTGTAACAGCAGTAAGGTGTTTCCCTCAGACGGCCAACAAATCAATCGTTCTGTGGCTTCCCTCATGCAACATTAATGCCTTTTCTTTTTCAAACATTTCAGAATGATTATTTCACTTTGTATGATCTTCATTTTCAATTTTTATTTTTCAATTTAAACTGTAGGATCTATTGATATATTGATAAATTGTGCTGGTTATGCTGTTGCACGCAATTTTTTGGATACATCTATAAATGATATTGAAGGCATGCTAAAAACGAATTATTTGTCTGCAGTTTATGTAACACGTATCTTACTACCTTATATGTTGGAACAAAAAGCTCATCAACCTCATGAACAACGTATTGTTTTTATTTGTAGTCTTGCTAGTCAAATAGGCGTTTATGGTTATACAGCTTATACAGGAAGTAAATATGCTTTACGTGGATTTGCAGAAGCCTTAGAAATGGAATTAGGACATAAAGGTCCGTATATTACAATAGCTTTCCCACCAGATACAGATACTCCAGGATATGCTGTAAGTTAAGCGCATTTTTATGCAAATCAGTGAAAATTAATGCTATATCTAATAACTGACATGATAATAATAATTCAGTTTTAAAAGCTTTTTTTTAAAAAAAAACTTGAGGCAAATATAAGGATAACTGTTCATAATCAGATGTATACAAATATCTGCAAATGATTTATTTGTTATTTACCAAGTATTTTCTTTTCTTTTCACTGCGTCAATTTTTCAGTGCTTTGTGATAAAATTAAAACGGGAATATAGCGCTAAATACTCCATAAATTCAAAGACAACTAATCGATACTTAGAAAAAGTAGCGTATTTGATTCAATGGCTTTTTGTTGTGTTTTTTATACTTTTAATAATGGGCAATGACTTAAATGATTCTATTCATTCGTTGTACATGGTATTGTGAATATTAGCCTAGCCTAATTTTTAAACGTCGTGGTGAAATATGGTTTGTCACATTTTTTTGTATAGTTCATAGACTGCAGTGTAACTCATCATTATTTTTTTTTTTTACACCTGAACGCTACTTCCAGCAGGCGTCGGTGCTTCAGTGGTATAATACTCACTAGCCACTCGGCGGTAGGTTGAAGTTCACATCTTAACTGATACCCATCCTCAAACCTCGCTTAGCTTACTAGTCCAATGGTACGCCTAAAAAGGAGAGAAGGTTGGGCGTCAGGCTAGTAAACCTACGGTGTAAAAACAATCCCACCTCTCCTGAAACTTCAAGGCGCAAAGCATTATGTTCCACTAGGTGGTGGTGCTGGTGGATTCAACATAGAACTTGGCACCGAAGTGCAGCAGTTCGAGTTGCCACGTTCCAAATAGCACACAAAGGTAGACGGGAAAATGAGAGAAGAGAATCAATAGAATTTAGATAAGTATAAGAGTGAAACAGAATGAGTAATGGTAGAAAGGAATATGAAAGGTTAAAGAGACTGAATACATCTGCGTAAGCCATTGACAACGATTTTGAGCCATGTCACCTAGTGTCTCCAGTCATTGATTCTTAGAGTCCCGAGGGCGGGCCCCAATCCGGAAGTCTGCATCTCCCTACCTGACTCAGTTTGACTGTCAGGGACTTCATGGATTGATGCCATGTTTTTGTTTGGCCACCACTTACTCTTTTCCAACCTGCACCTATATCAGCTAGTAATGCCCGTCGGGGGAGACGATGGCTAGGCATGCGCAGCACGTGACCTAGCCATCTCAATCTATGTAACTTTGTAGCCTCTTCTATTGATTTTCCCTCTTTGCCCAACACTCAACGCCTAACGTCAACATTACTTACCTTATTATACCACCTAACGCGAGAAAGAGATCGTAAACATCTGTGGTCAAAAACAGACAATCTCTTCATGTCTTCCGCTCTCAATGGCCACGTCTCACCACCATAGAGAAGGACGGAGCGAACTGCTGAGCAGTACACACGTCCCTTGGTTGATAGTGGGATGTCACGCCTACGCCAGAGACGGTGTAAGTTAGCGAAAGCAGCCCGAGCTTTCTGGATCCGTGCTGTGATTTCGTCACCAATCAATCCGTTGGTGCTGATACAACTTCCCAAATAAGTGAAGTGGTCAACATGTTCTATCACTTCACTCACTATCACTAAGCTAGGAGTTGACGTAGTCCAGTCCTGTAGCAGCATCTTGCATTTTACAGGGTCGAATCGCATGCCAAACATACGAAGATTGCTGCTCAAGGTGTTCCACTAGGAACGAATAGGAATTAAAATAAACAATCAGCGCAGCCAATTGACATGCATTTGTAGTGGTCTTTTGTGAACAGAAAGTAATGTGCCCTAGTGAGCTACTTTATAAGTTGACACAGTGTCATATCTTGTGTTATTTAGGTGCCTGCAGTATGCACGTATAAATACTTGTTCTATTTTGACTGTACTAGTGAACGTTTTATGTTATAAAGTGAAATCATCTTAGCGGCGGAAAATGTTTTTTGTGGTTCATCTTTAATTCCATCCTAGATACTTACTGAGAGGTCGTCCCGTTTTTTATGGTAGATAGATAAAAATTGGGTTCTTTTGAAACAGTTTCAGGTTGTATTGTTGACATCCCTTGTTCTCCATATTTCATTATAAATTTCCTGGGATATCCATCGTCTGTAAGGTTCTTTTCAGTAACTATGATCTCCTCTTCTATCTTGTTTCTGAGTATAACGTCCTTTATCTACTGAAGAGCTTCCCAATTAATTTCCACCTTTAACTAATGGGACGGAAGTTGTGATATGTCAAGTACTGATCAGATCACGTCTGTCTCCTGTAAATACTTTGTTTTGGATTTTACCATCATTTCTCCGTTTTATGTTAAGATACTGAGAGTTGAAGAAGTTCTCAAATTTATAAGTCATTTTAAAATTCATATATGGGTGAGCTATATTAAATTATTTAAAACGTCCGGAATGCATGATATATATAAAAATATATTCTGATTTTAGTTGGGTTTTTGAGGAAGGTAGGCTTTACATTCAATAGATTGCAAATAAATTTTTTGAGGGGTGTTATGACGAAGTGTTACTGGGTTGTGGGTTGTCTAACTTGATTAGAATGCGCCTCAAAAACACGGCACTATAACCAACTGATCAGTAGAAATCATCTCCCACACCAAGATAGGCACAAAAGTCAAACTGGGAAAAATGATGACCGCAATGACAACAACCTTTATCCTACAAAATACGCAGTATATTATATTCACGAAACCTCAAATATATAAGCCATAAATAAATGAATCAGAAGTGTCCAACAAGGTTTTCACGTCAGTACACTCATAAATCACTCCTTTACCGAGAACGAAAACGCTCGTCTGTCGCAACAGGGAGTGATGATCCTAGAGAACCTGTATTAGTAGGGATTTTCTGAGTTATTCGCTGCATAATTTTGAGGTTCTCCATTTCAATCCAATTTTGTCTGATTTCGTCATGTCACCTAGATATTATTTTCCTATCAAATTCAATGAACGTACTTTGGAATTGGGTAAAACAACTTACTGACACATTAACATTATTATCACTATCACTAGAGAAATTTATAAACATGTTTATTTGAGAGTTTTTATAAAATCAATGAAGGGAGAACTTATGTTTTTCTTTGACTGTTATTATTCCTTTGGGTTTCGAGTGGAACACGGGGCTTCAACAGATCCTGTTCTCTGCAGTCCTCTGTAGCTGACTGGCTTCACGATTAACCATAAGCTCACATCTCTTCTTCACACGATCTCCTCCATGTTATTCTCGGTCGCCGAATTCGTCCTTTCCTATTCTGGCACGTGATGTCACTCAACGGTCTTCTCAGCCTGTGTCCGATCCATCTCTATCCCCTTCAGCATATTTGTTGGGTAAAGAGTTGTTAGTTGATTTGTTCACAGTGTTCCATATTGCATTCATTGTAGTTGAATAAACTGGTTTCTATCTTCACTAAACAGTTTTACAAGTTATTATTTCTTTTTCATGATTTTTTTTAGCTTGAAAACACTGGCAAGCCAGCAGCTACTAAAGAAATATCTTCAACTGCAGGTCTAGCCTCCCCAGATAATGTAGCTAAATCAATTTATATGGACATCATAAATGGAAAGTTAGTAAGCACATATGGACTAGAAGGATCACTCTTGTCCTGGTTAACTGCTGGTATCCTTCCTCCTGTGAGTGTACGATGTCGTTATCTATCAGATTTCTTTCGAGTTATAATCGGTGCTTCATTGGAGATTGCAGCTGCAACACCGCTTCGTGCTGTTGGTATATTCTATGCTTTTTGGATGAAATATATTACATATAAGCATAATAAGTGACATTGCTCATTCCAGATTTACTTGGCGACACTGTGGAATTTTCATTCTGCATATCATATGCATATTGTTTTTTTTTTATTATTCTTGTTAGTTGTTTCAAGCATCTTACATATTCGAGCACTTTTCCTGGCAACAGGTGTGCGTTGACTTGAATTTTCAGGTTGTATAACTGGAAGAAACAACCATGTTTTACTGTCAAGTACAATCGACGCTTCTGAAATTGCTACTCAGGGATATTTGTTTGCCTTTAAAGTAATTTTCACTCAGACATTAGTTTATTTCAAAATTGACTTTTAACGTTTTTGCTTTTATACGTGTCAATATGTGATAAAACAAAGACTTTAGTTTGCTTTTTTGGTTTTGTTATAAACACTTCTACAGAATTCATACAATACATATCATCCTATAATGAATTTATTTGTCTACTTTTTCACCTTGACTTTTTTTTGTCTCAAAATGTTCTTCGTTTTATTACTTGACAGGTTAACGAAAGATGATTTCTGTGTGGCTATTTCCGGTCATCAGGACAGGAGAAACATATCGGAGATTAGTTTTCTTTTAGTCAACAATAAACGGCTTGAAGTTATATATATATATATATATATATATATATATATATGTATATAATTCTCAGTTTGATGATATTTCAGTTAAATACGTGCTGGTGTGCCAATACTTGTGCTATCATAAACTATAGTGCGTCGGTGACACAGCGGTAGAAGGTCCGCCAACCACGCAGCTGGTCCGGGATTCGATCCCCCGTGGGCGCACTCCTTCACCTCGCTAAGCCAGTAATCAGACTGGTATAGAGGGAAGGTTGAGCATGAGGCTAGCTACCCTATCCCGTAAAAATAAACACCATTTCTACCGAAACTTCAAGCCTCTATCTTGAAGCTCTATGTTCCACTGGGAACGTAAAGGAATAAAGATAAATAATCATAAAATATACATTTTGAAATATTTTGGCGAATGGTAACTAGCACTGGAATTCAGGATGCTCATTTCGTGACCCAAATAGTCTGGTGGATAACGCTTTGGTGTGTTGTGTGACGATGGGTATTGCGTTCAAGTCCCAGTGGGGATACCATCACTTACTGGGGAATGCAGGTACATGCGGGTGACGAGTCCCATACAGGACGAAATGCGCGTTCTGGATTCTACTATCAGTCACCATTCACCAAATTACTTCAAGTTAATCATCAGACATCGTTGAAGCGTACTTACTAGGAGCCGACATATCAACAGAGGTCGAACATTTCGGTTCAATCAATCGACGGGAAAATGAAAATTGAATTAAAAATGTACGTTTTATTGAGGGTGTTCTCAGAGATATCTCTATTTGCACTGCAAGTAATGTCCTTTTAGATTATAAGGGGTATAAATGTATGGGGTCGTTTCATTCATACCTCTACTATGCATTTCTGTTGAGAATATAAGGTAATCTCAGAAGGGTTAATTGCTGTTGTTGCTATATGTTAAGTTGGGTATCAAATCTAAATACACAACTGTGTGAACGCTTGTGGAACTTTATTCCAGGAATCGATAACAGTCAGAGATATTTACCAGACCATGAATAGTGTCATTATTTTTTTATGTTGAATTTTATTATTTATCTTCCGAAAGTTGTTGTTATTCAAATGTAGACTGAGTAGGGCATGCATGAAAGTCAATCAAATCCGGCAAAGTTGAGAAGACTTTCATATCTGGAATGACCATAAGGTTTGACCCAAGAATTGTTTATGAATAGTGACAAGGAATTAACGACTGGACCACACAGTATAAAACTTAGTGTATAGACACCAAATAATATTGAAACGTACCTCCGTGGATTTATCACCATGTGACTGTTAAGAAAATAAGAACATAGAAGCTAACATGCTAAGATAAGAGCGCGTTGATCTTGTGATTTTAAAGCGCAGACATACCGGTGTCTGATATTTGTCTAAACTCCTGAGTTGAAGGAAATATTTGATCCTATCGACCGAAAAATGATGTGGTGATCGGCCCTAAGGGGCTACAGAAGGTGGAGGGCATGTTACGCTACTGAACACTTGCATATGTACAGGAGCGTAGGAATACTTCGCATACAAAGTGCTGGTAATCACAGTGGCATTCATGTGACATGAAAAATGCCATAATTCACATTGAAAATTGTTATAAATGTTCGGTTTGAGGTGACTGTTAAACTCTCAAATGTAAAGAGTTGCCTTATTGTCTAACTCAGAGTATTCGGACAATATAATCCTGTTAGACGAAACTGCTTATGGAATAAACACGAATCTTAATATATATATATATATATATATATATATATATATATACTGTTCACCGCATCCTGTCGAATACGTTGTTTTTGATGAAGGAGAGGTATTGAATTGGTTCTATGGATGAGTGTAGGCATTATTCAAGAAATTGCATTGAGTCTAATAGGATGAATAGTTTTTACACTTCATTATAAATATTGATAGTCCGTTTTGATTCGTTTCGCCAACCTGCATCGTTTATGAAGTTAGTAGGATATCAGGCCATCTAATGTAGTGTTAGTGTACCGTAATATGTATCCCACAGCCTTGTTCTTATCATTGTTGCAACAGTAAGATACCAGTAATGTTAGGATATATGCGATAAGTGCAAGGTTTTAATCCTTAGACATTTCTTCACACTATTAGTAGAATGAGATGGGACGACACTAGGAGTAGTGTTCAGAAGTGGATAGAGAGTATTAGATAGTAGTCTGAATTACTCAGTACGGTTTTCAAACTTCAAAAACTGTGTATTTACCCTTTTCGTACCATGCCAACTACCGAACACCATCCGGGAAAGGAGTAAGAGTGCGCTTTCGCGAGCCCCCCCCCCCCCCCAGCGACTGATACAGTCCCAGAGCGAACTCCCCAAGACGCGTCTTCATCAACTTTCAAATATTTACATCTCAGGACACCCTTGGTGCCACTCCTCCAGCTGGTATGTACAGGAACATCCTCTCAGGGACACATGCGCATTGGAGCCAACCAAACCTTGTCTCATGGGTCTAGATCCCAACCGCCAAGCCACAGCATAAGACACTGCTCGAGACTGGCCTAGGCTAACAATTACACCAAGCTGCGCCTCGCGGTTTGGGTTACCAGCTCTAACAGCCACCCACTAGCCAGTTGTTATTGGTCCCGGTCCTCTCGTCAAGAATCCCACAGATCTACTGGCCCCGTCGATGCCTCGCACACCACCAAAAGGCCAAAGGACGACATTCTGCTTCATCAAAACTGAGTAACCAGACGTAAGTGTTGTCTCATGCAAGTGACAGGTCTTTGCTGGAGCTTGGTTTGCCTGCCAATAAGCCCCACCCAGCGGTCACCACGCTGAGGCGCCTGCCACATATAACCATAACCCTCGTCCCGCCATTTCCCATGCCCGGTTGAGTTTCTTCACGTTGACACTCAGAGCACTGGACGGAACTTTGTAACCAAATGTAGACTTAACAAGAGAAGCCAATATTGGAAAGCACACGATGGTCTAAGGATGACGGTCCTTGCACCGCATGCAGGACCTCCCTGCAAAGTCTCTCATTAGATGACGAAGCATTTGGCTACCTTAAGATAGTCACAGTTACTCCCGCAAACATGGGTGCGTACTGCCGATGAGTCCTAAATTAGGACGAAGCAGCTGTCCATTACTCCTTGGTTTTCAACGGTTATCTATCCGATATCAATGCGTGATCAAACTTGAAAAAATACCTTCCTGTAAAAATTTCGTGGTCAGTGGGTGAAGAAGTTCGCGCATAAGAACGAATACAAACTGTTGATTGCACTGTGCCTCTCAACTATCTTCAAATAAATGATTTTTTTCTTAGAAGTGTTTATAAAATTCGTAGATTTGTGACTTGCTGGTGTAAAAATCAGACTTGGGACAAGTGGTTTATGTACTGCAATCTCAGATTATCTGCTGGGGAGGCAGACCTACAACCTAAGTAGTATCACTGGTCTTTGCGAAAGAGATGTGACTCACCCATGATTACAGAAGTATGCACACGAACAGGATGATCTTCACTCATCCTATTTTCATAAATATATTTGCAAGACATATTTATGCAAAATAGATTTTCGATTTAACTCGAAATATGACCAAAACTGAAACCGATAAAAATTGATCATTCAGTGTGCATCTCAGTATTTATTGTTTCATATACTTGGTGGTCTTACCAACATTCAAATTGCTTGAGCCGATGAGCTCAAATAGGTAGCACATAGTTTCCTTGAAGAGGATATTGGTAAATAGGGAAATACATCTAACAATATAGTAATACAATACAATATAATAGCTCCAAAGTAGCCCTTATTGATAAAATCAGTGCAATAGTAGCACATTATCTAAAGAATGAAGTAAAATACAAATCAATACAGTAGAGGTACACCATCTCTTCACAACAACTCCGATTTTACGTTGGGGAAATAAAGATGAACTGCCGTATTTCGCCTCCTCTATATGCGTCTACTAGTTTGCCTTCTCCTGTAGAGCTAGTTACATTGGGAATACATTTAGGCATGTTGATAATCGGATTTCAGAACGTTATCATCCTACATGGTTAATCAAGGGATAAACAAGATCTATTGATAGCTCTGTTTCGCTACACCTTGTAGATTGTGAGCACAAGATTGATATTAATGAAGCATTCAAAGTTATTTATCACATTCCGACCAACTCCAGGAAAGCATAGTGTATTTTGCCTGAATGTGGCTTAAATTTTACGAGGAGTGATTAAACCACATAAAGCAACCAAGAACCTCTTGCCCAGCAATATGCTGAAGAAACTAGAGATGGACCCGTCACACGCCGAGCAGACCGTTGACTGACGTAGCTTGCGAGGCTCTGAAGGTGAATGAGAAACGAGTTAGGCTTGTGTTCGAGGGTGACATGGAGGGAGTTGTGTTAGGAGGAGATGAGAGTATTCAGGTAATCGTGGAGACAGACAGCTAAAGGGGACTTCAGAGGACAGGATGAAATGGATA